GTAGGAAGGCGCGCTGCGAGACCGGCGTCTTGGAGGTGATGGCGGCCTGTCGAGCGTTGTGCCTGGTAGGGGCCACGGCCACACGTGCCTTGGGTGGTGCGGACGGGCGGCACAAAGGGGCGTTGGCGATGATCGGTGCAGGGGCGACGGTTAACAGGTGGCGAGAGGCTGGGGGCGATTTCTGCATCGTTGTTGGTGATCTCGAGCTGGTAGACGCGATTGGTGACCGTGCCGAGCTGCATCTCCAGCGTATGAGAAGGTGTGGGGGCGCACCTGTTGTACTGTCCGGTGGCCTGGGGGTGGTGGCGAGCGTGGGGGAGAACGCATCTAGCCGCGCCTCCATCTCGGCGTCTGCCTTCTGCTTGTCGTTGTCGAAGTCGAGGGGAGCAACAACTACGGCGTTTGCAGCGGCCTGGACGTCCGCCGCCAAGTTTTCGATGATCACCGACGCTAGGATGGGCCGCTTTGCTTGTCTGGAGAAGTCGTCGACCGGATCCTTTCCTTTGTTGTTGACGCAGTCGCCTTCTGCCGCACCGGAGACCGACGCCGCCCGTGGCGAGCGAGGGGCGGACGGCCGTCGGTGGTGTTGATGCGCTTCTCCCGCAGACGGCCTCCTGCCGCCCACGCGGCGGCTGTGCGTGCTCTTGTGGTGGCGCCTGGCTGGGGGGGAGCGGCTGCGATGACGCGGGGCAGGCGCCGGCGCCGGCTGGGTCAGTGTGCGTCCCCGACGTAGCAGGGCATCCTTCCAGGATCTGCGACCAACACCGCCAGCTCCGCCAGCGTCTCCGTGGTCGCGTCCATCGCGTGGCATGCCGCGGTAGCCCAGGTTGGCCACCGGGGCGCGCCCAAGGCGATGGAGGCGATCACCCCTCTGCCCGTCCTCGACCTCCATGGTCCAGGTGGCAGGGATCACGGTGAAGCGGGGCCGGTCGTCAGTGTCGAAGTTGGACGACGGCAGCCCGCTTTGGGTGGAGTGCGAAGAGCTCGGCGATGGGGGGGGTCCAGTCTTCGACCCTGTCGACGTGGATGAGCATGGTGTAGTCTGTGGTGCCCGGTGGTGGAGCAACGCGCCGGTCGGGCGGCGAGTAGCCCTGCATCTCCTCGACGCATCCCGCACCGCATGGCAGGACCCGAGCGTATGCTTGGTGGGGATGTGGGCGACGTCGTTCGTCCAGATCCAGCAGGCAAAAGTCTTCGTGTGTTCGCGCTCCTGCGTCCTGCAGTCGAGGCGGTCGACGCACACCTTCTTCCCAAGGATTTCCTCGATCCCTTCCAAGGACCAGTACTGCATAGGGACCTTCTCGATGACGACTCTGATGTGAAGCTGAAGCGTGTCGAAGGCGGCGTGGTCGTGCTCATGCCACGACGCGATGTTGAAGGCGGTGCCATCGACCCTGATTGAGCCGCGGCGAATGGCGTTGACGCGGTGCGTGGGCTGGCTGAAGATGACGAGGTAGTGCTCCGGGTGGTGAGCCGTGACACGCAGCTGGCTCATTGGGACGGCAAGCTGCGCCTCCAGCACGCGGCCCACCGCCATGGGGGACGTGGCATTGACGCCGTCTGTCGCAGTCATGGTGACGGCGTGGTTGCGCAGGAAGAAAATGGCCTGCTCCATCGCCGGGGAAGACATGGTCAACGAGTAGCTCTCTCTGGGGCAGAGAGAGGGGTCGATGTGGCGCTGCATGGCCGGGGTGGTGGTGGGCATGGTGGATGCAGCAGGCGGCGGGAAGCAGAGGCCCGAGTGGATTGGCGCCGGAGGAGCGGCTTGCCTAGGCCTGGAGCACTGATTTTGTGGGCATTGCTTCTCTATGTGGCCGGGCAGCTCACAGAGGATGCAGTGAATGGGATCACGGCAGTCCGCGCGGCGATGTTTCTTGCTGAGGCAACAGAAGCAGCGGCCGCGGAACCGACTTAAGAAGGCTGCGCGGGCGGCGTCCGCATTGAAGCCACTGCGCCGGTCCGGCCGCTGCACCCCGAGGTGTGCCCTGTAGCCCGGTGGGCCAAACGCAGGGCGTTTCTTCTTCTGGTGGCTGACCTCGGTCCACCCACCGT